AAAGAAAGAAAGAAAGAAAGAAAGAAAGAAAGAAAAAGAAAGAAAGTTCCAGAGTTTTAAAATGTCAGCATTTGACTGATTAGAGTAGCTTTCCTGGCTTAACCAGTAGGTTGATTTGATGTGTTCATCCATTAATACAGTAAAACACATGTTAAAGATAACAAATTGTTTAACAAGTTTTGACAAACAAGTCCCCTGGTGGTCCCGAAATTTCTGAGAAGCAGATGGAAGGGGGACAATTTTATAGATTCCCCTTCCTATCTGCACAAAGCCACAGAGGTCTAAAGTAGGTATTAGTGCAAATAAGGGACACTGTCAGACAATAAAGAGACACAATTGCCTCTGTTAGCACAACAATTAATTTTGTTTGCAGAGTACCAGTCAGTCTATTTGTTACCAGGAATGTGCTAATTATTCTTGCTAATTACATGCAAAACATTCATTATCACCTATAAGTGGAGCTGGACCCCTCAGGTTTCAGTGACAAATTAATTACTGTGTTTTCCTTCTGAATGTATTTCTAGTCAGTTCTGGTATTATCTGAAAAATAAATGGTTTAGCAGCCCGCTTGTTTCTCAGAGCCACTCATTAAAATGAAAAGTAGGCATGCAGAGCTATATCAATTTTCCTTCCCTATTCTACTAGGGCGGCATTCCCTGAAATTCTCCGAAGTACTACCACAAATTTATAAACTCTGAAGCCTGGGGAAATGCATGCAGCTGTGTCACTTAGGACCAGATGCATATTTCCACCAGCGGCACTCATTGAACCTCAGGAAGAAGGCAAACTAAAGAGGAGGAGAGGATCCTATACCCTATACACACGCCAGCCCCTTTGGCCTTGTCTTTCAAAAGACTGGGGCAACCTTTTGTTGTCTAGTCCAAACTTAGGATAACCGAGTTTTAACCTCCCCAATGTGCGATTCAGTCAATCAAAAAGCAAATCTTGAATTGCCAACTTCTTTGGCCCTTACATCTTGGGTGGGAACAAACCTGACAGTATAGATGCGTATATTTGTATTCTAAATGCGGATTACATCAGAAAGACCAGTATCTGCACATATGTAATTCTGCCTTGACCCTATATTGCCTGGAGTTCTCTCTCTTGACTGTTCCTAACAGGCCAGGAGCCAATCTTTTTTTAAAAAAAAGATTGTAATTTATTTATTTGAGAGAGAGTGAGTGAGAGACAGCACAAGCAGGGTGAAGGGCAGAGAGAGAAGCAGAGTCACCACTGAGCAGGGAGCCCGATGCAGGGCTCGATCCCAGGACTCAGGGACCATGACCTGAGCCGAAGGCAGACGCTCTTCAAGTCCTCACCTGAGCCTGTGGCCCTCACTGAATCGGAGACTGAGTATGTCATCCGCTGCATCAAACACACCTTCACTGACCACATGGTGTTCCAGTTTGACTGCACAAACACACTCAACGACCAGACCTTGGAGAACGTCACGGTGCAGATGGAGCCCACTGAAGCCTACGAGGTGCTCTGTTACGTGCCTGCCCGAAGCCTACCCTACAACCAGCCTGGGACCTGCTACACATTGGTGGCACTGCCCAAGGAAGACCCTACAGCTGTGGCCTGCACATTCAGCTGCATGATGAAGTTCACTGTCAAGGACTGTGACCCCACCACTGGGGAGACCGATGATGAAGGCTATGAAGATGAATATGTGCTGGAAGATCTGGAAGTCACTGTCGCAGATCACATCCAAAACGTCATGAAGCTGAACTTCGAAGCAGCCTGGGATGAGGTAGGGGATGAGTTTGAGAAGGAGGAAACATTCACCTTGTCTACCATCAAGACACTTGAAGAGGCTGTGGGCAATATTGTGAAATTCCTGGGAATGCACCCTTGTGAGAGGTCAGACAAAGTGCCAGGTAACAAGAACACCCACATGTTGCTCCTGGCTGGTGTGTTCCGGGGAGGTCATGACATCTTGGTGCGCTCCCGACTGCTGCTTTTGGACACAGTAACAATGCAGGTGACAGCCAGAAGTTCGGAGGAGCTGCCAGTAGACATCATCTTGGCGTCTGTGGGCTAAGAGGCCAGGCTGCATGAGCCCTGCTCCTACCCTTTTCCCCCCAACACTGCGCAGAAGTCATGCCTTCATCCTGAATCCAGTGGAAACTCCTTCCCAAGCCTCTGTATCAAAAACAATTAGAAATCACTGGGGAAAAAAAAATTTTTTTTTTTAATTTAACCCCTGCCCCAGGCTTGCCAGGGGGTAACCTTTTTTTCTTTTTTTAAATAGGGGATGATTTTAGCTTGTCCTAGAACCTGCTGTCCTGCCTGTCAGGGTAGGAACATCGCAAATGAATAAAATGCTCGCACCTCCTCTTGAATTTATCCCCAAGAAAACCATCTTATCCATATAAATAAATCAGCTTGTATTTATTGAAAAAAAAAAAAAAGCCACCCAGGCATCCAGGAGCCAACCATTTTCACTCTCTCCTTACCTTACACTTGCTCACCATAGTGGCAGCAGACTAAAGGCTTATGGAATGAAAAGATGGATCTGCCCAGCTTTGGGCCCATTCTGATGTGCATCCTGAATCAATAATTCAGGGTTAGCCGTCTCTCACTCCTCTTCCCACCATTTAAGCTCACTTTCAGGAAGTCTTTAAATATTATTTCAGTAGAAAAGTGTGCTCCTGAAAGGGAGGTGGGAAAAGGCTGTGGTGCCCCCATCTACACACCCCCAGAAGCCCATCCATCTGAGGGGAAACTATCTCCATTTTAATCAACCATGTTCCTTTAGCCCACTACGTGCCTACCGCTGTCATGGCACATTTTGCAAAGTCAAGTTTACATGGTCCCATACGTCTGTATCCATGTGCTTTCTAAATCTTCCTCTTATGGGCCCCTTCATATTTGCTTTGGCTCTTTTTAGGTGCAGGCGCCTTTTATACATCAACATTTGGCCTATTTCTCCAACAGCTCTACAATAATAAAGAAGTTTTCACTGTCACACCGCTTTCGATTTAAAATAGTATATAGAGGATATACAGTAAGCTAAATGATCATCTGCTGGAGGTACACATAAATTTCACACTGTCTGAATAACCCATTGTAGTTGATGCTTCCAGAATTTGGGTTTATGAGCTTATGGCTTTTATGTTTTACAAAGGAAGAAGTTTAGAATTTTTGTTTCTTTGCTTTTAGTATCACATGTATTTCTTTCTCTAATTTCCCTAAGTCTGTGATCACCTTGTCTGAAATGTGTAAGTTTAAATAGCTGAAGTAAACTCTATGACACTGAAACCAAAAGCACCTGTAACAGATCATGGACATATTTCTGCCTAATTTCTGCTAGGATAACAAAGAGGGCACTTAGCTGAATTTAACCTCTGTAGCAGGTCATAACTGTCTCTCCCTCCCTTTCTTCACCTCCCTGCACCTTACAATGTCCCGTACCCAGTCAGATCACCACCATGTCCACACCTTGCTTCTGCTTCCCCCACCTTTCCAAAATCCCATCCCTTGTTTTCATTCATTCTCCAGTGTTTAGCTGTTTACTATTTATAATTTTACTTTTTTTTTACTATTTAACCACTGTTTAATACTTTTTATATGTTCTAATTTATTTGTCTTTTTCCTATTATCTCATGGTCTTGCTAATATCAAATCATTTAGGCTAAAGTTTTACCATGTTATTTTAGCCAGTCTCTTACCACTTATAGATCTTCAAGGGAGTTCTAGAGATCAATTTAACTCAAAGGAATGAATTTCTAATGATGAGAATGGCTAATAATGTGGCGTCATGGTGATAGAATTATTTTGGAAGTGGCAGGAGGCCGTTGGCAATCCAGCTACACAGTTATACACAGTGTATGACCACTTGCCCAAATGAAATATAAGCCTGGCCTTCCATTTTTTCTGTTCTTCAAGACCTTCAGGGAGAAAGACCTCCCTCAGGAATACACTGAGGGAATTCTCTACACTTACCCTGACCTGTTCAACTGAATATCTAACAAAAGTTTCAATTTCTTAAAATAATAGGTGTTCTAAAATAGAAAGTGAATTTGTTATTCTTAGGGTAATTGTCCAGCATGCAATCCTTGAATGTCAGGCTTTGAGATCACAGACCAGACCTCTTTGCAGGGAAGGTTAAGAGCATACACCTTGGAGTCAAGGAGCCATTGAGCTTGCACCTGGCTCTTAATATTCTGTGACAAGTCTTGGTTTCTACATAAGATAGAGAACATCACAGGGTGGTATGAGGGTTAAAGGTAAAAAAAATATCTGACATTCAAGTACCTTATTGGTCAAGTAAATCCAGGAATGGTTAAAGAACAGCTTTACCAACGTTGTATGTTACTTGGCTTTGCACATTGTTGTCTCACCCAACTCTGCAGAATTAAAGACATAAGTAAATCCCGGTTCCACTAACCTAAAAACTGAAGATCTCTTTCCCATTTAGCTTACACTTTCAAAACAAAATAAAACTCCTCCCACAAGGAACTAAAAAAAAAGTTTTATGAATTTCTGGTATTAATCAGTACCATCATGCTGGGAGCCTGGGCTCACAGAGGATTTTAGGACAAGCAGGAGAAGTGGAAAAGAGGCATGGTGGGGCAGAAGAGGGAGAAAGCCTGGACTCCAGGTCCAGGCTGGTTTTGAGGATAGTGGGCACAAGCTACAGCAACTTTCTCCTGACACCAGAGCTGCAGATCCAGCTCTCACACTCGTCACACTGAGCATGAATATGGAACCCTCCACCGCTGACATTCCAACCTGAAATACACACGTGCCATTGGCAGCAGATAAGAGGAAATGTCAGGGGAAAACTTGATGTATCTTTGCCCTAGGACTGAATTTCACCTGGCAGACCGTGTTTCCAAAATCTTCAGTTCCTCTCTTCCCCTGCAGCTAAATTAACCCTAAAATTCTACTTCAGGGGGCCTGTTTCAGAGCTCCAGATTTCACATGTTAAAACTACACAGTGTATCCTTTAACAGCACTGATCTTTTATCAATTCTTGCAGAGAATGCTGCGCTCCACTCCAGTGTGAAGGAGCATCTGGCAACCACTGCTATGAGCTACCAGCCCAGAATGAGTGCTCTAATCTATAACTCTGTCCTTCTCCAAATATTTCTGGTGTAACTCACCCTCTGTGCTCTTTGGCAATCTAGCAGCATTCTGACTATTACACTGGTCACAGAGGCATCTCCTCTAAGATACATAATCCATTTCCATTTGGTAACTTCCAAATCAGTTCATTGAGAATATCATAGAAAGAGTAAACCTAATAATTAATTAATTAATGATATGTGCATGTACTATTTTCTCTAGGACTTGAAAGGTAACAGAAGATTTTGATCATCGCACTTATATCCAAAAAATGGAATTCATTTCAAAAGAGTGTCAGAAAATATCACAGAAACTTAATTTTTGGATTTAGGTGACTTTTACTTAGCAATTCCATGAATCAGAAAGCATTCAGTCGTGAAAACAGAAAGGAGCTCTGAAGAGCTATACAAAGCTACAGAGTTTTATAGCCCAAGGTAAGCATGAACAAGAAGTTATACTAGGCAAACATGGATTGGCTGATGAAGGATTGCCTTCCTTATTTGGAAAAACAAGGAACTTGACTAGGTTAGGTAACAGAGCTCAGCAGGCAGGTTCTGAGTGGCTGGGTTTTGGTTTCTTTACATAGGCTGTTAAGGTACTAGAACCACCTCAGGGTAAATAATTTAACAAGAGACAGTCTTAGTCAGTTTAGACTACTATTACAAAGTACCATAGACTGGGTGGCTTAGAAAAAATGGAAATGTTTTTCTCATAGTTCTGGAGGCTGGCTGTCCAAGATCAAGGTTCCAGCATGGTCTGGTCCTGGTGAGAGCCTCCTTCCATGTTATAGACTGCTGACTTCTCCTTGTATTTTCATGATGGAAAGAGAGCAAAAAAGTTGTCTGGGATCCCTTTCATAACGGCATGAATCCCCTTCATGAGGGCTCTACCCTCATGATCTAATCACCTCCCAAAGGCTCCACCTCCTAATACCATCTCACTGGAGATTAAGATTTCAACATATTAATGGGGGGTGGAGAGGATACAAACATTCAGTCCATTGCAAACACCAACCACAGCCTAGACAGTGCTCAACACATAATAGTCATTTAATAAGCTCTTCAAAAACTGAGCTGCTGGGTGTCAATTGGGAGGTCTCTCTAATATCAAACCAGTCATCATCTGCCCCGGTATTTAACATGAAGTCAGGTATGCATGATAGGATATTCACAGTAAAAGAGAAGTTCCACCAAAATACATGAGAAAACACATTCCCTCCAGAGTGGAGTGTTCAGATTTCTTCACAAGATTCAATCAGATTGGTTTATTTAATCAGTAAAACAGATCTAAATATACCTTGAGCATCTGAATCTTGAAGGACAGGGAATAACTAGATAACTCAGTTTCCCCATCTACTCCTTAATGAAAGGAATAGTCCGAGCCCCTGCTATTGCCTTGTGCTGAGGTGAGCTGGCAGCTCAATGACTGATCTGGACATATATGTAATTTATTTGGCCAGAACAGTGTATAGATTTTTATGGCCAGAATTTAAAAATTGGGAGAGTTCATATAAGATCTGCAGTTCCAAATTCTTTTTAAAAATCAGAAGCTCTGACAATATCAGGCCACATTCCTATATGACAATAATTGGCTGGAACTGGGTACAGGCCACCCTCTGTAGCAGAAGCCAGTACTCTTGAAGGTTCTACTGCCTCCCCCCACCTTTGGTAATTTTCTATCTGGCTCACTTGCCTCCTACCTTATCTGCTTGGCCCATGTTGGCATGAGAGCTCTGGCTGAGCTATAAATAAGTAATAAATATATTTAATATTCACTGGTTTTTCAGGTGTTCTTTAAAATTTATTTTTTATTTGAAAGAGACAGGGAGAGTGAGTATGGCGGGAAGGGCTAGGGGCAAGGAGGGAGAAGGAGAGAGAATCCCAAGCAGACTCCGTGCTGGGCGTGAAGCCTCATGTGCAGCTTGAGCCTACGACCAGACATCATGACCCCAGCAGAAAACAAGAGTCAGAC